ACTTTCCACGTCTCTGACAGAAGGAATATTTCCAACACACCTCTGAACAACACACTAATCCACAGAGACCTTCCTACCAAAACGACAAAAAGAAGGATTCTGCCTGAAGGTCGAAACAGCAGACTGGACTTCAACTCGAGTGCTTCAGCCAACAAGCACGGGCTGAAGTGGTCGAAAAGCAGCATCACTTGGCCCATAACCTCAGCCGTGCAGAACACAACACCGTCCACGGCCTCAGGAACAACTCTGACATCCGAATCAAAAAGGCTGACAAAGGAGGTGCTGTCGTCATCATGAATAGGTTGGAATATGAACAAGAGGCTGCTCGGCAGGTCTCCAACTCCACATTCTCCAGCCCATTCCCCTCTGATCCCACTCAGGGTCACCAAGAGAAACTGCACCATCTGCTCAAGAAACTCCCCGAAAAAGCACAAGAACAAATCTGCACAGACCCGCCCCTGGAACCCCGACCAGGGGTCTTCTATCTGCTACCCAAGATCCATAAACCTGGAAATCCTGGACGCCCCGTCATCTCAGGCATTGGCTAGGGGTGCTGGTCGCTCAGGGCCGGAGGAGAGAGTCGACACAGCCAGATACTCCTGCTGTCTGGATGCCAATGCCTGAGAGGATTTCATCGCAGTCTCTGACGAGGGGGTTCAGGCTCCAGCGCTCTGCTCTGTTTTCCCAGCCCTGTGCAGGGGGTTGTTTCCAGTTTCAGAAATGGGGCAATGTTCACACACTCCCAATGGGTCTTTGCATGAATCAGGCCCTAAGCCAGGGGCAGGCAAACTTTGGCCTGATGCCGGATCGGGTTTCAGAAATTGTACGGAGGGACAGTTAGGGGAGGCTGGGCCTCCTCAAACAGCAAGGCATGGCCCGGCCCCGCCCCCATCTGACCTCCGCTTCTCGCCCCCGGACGGCCGCCCCGGGCCTCCAGCCCCATCCAACCCTTCTGTTCCCTGAGGGGCCCCCCAGGACCCTTGCCCCATCCACCCCCCCCCGCTCTCTGTCCCCTGACTGCCCCCAGATCCCCCCGCCCCTAACAGACCCCCACCGCCCCCATCCAACCCCCCCTCTCCTTCCTGCCTGCCCCCCCGGACCATCTGCCCCATCCAACCACCCCTTCTCCCTGGCCACCCCGGGACCTCCTGCCCGTATTCAAGCCCCTGTTCCCCGCTTCTCACCGCCCCGACCCCATCTGCCCCCCAGCCCCTGACCACTCCCAAACTCCCCTGCCCTCTACCGCACCCCTCCCCTGCTCCCTGCCCCCTGCCCGCACTGCCTGCAGCATGGGCCGGCGGCACCGGGAGCGGAGGCTGTGGGGCGGGGGGACAGCAGGGGCGGGGCCGGGGGCTCTCCAGAGCTCGGGGCCGGACGGAGCGGCTCAGAGCCCCCGGCCCCCCTTCTGCTCCCCCCCTGCTCCCCACGTGTCGCTGCCCCCCAAACCCGGGGAGCTGCCGCATCTTCCCTCTGCCCGGGGCAGGGACTCGCAGCCCCCCGCTGGGAGCAGCCTGGGCCCCCCTGCCCCGCACAGGCTGCACTGGGAGCAGCTCCCTGGGGGGCAGGTCTCCCCTTCTCTCCCCGGAGGCACTGCCAGACCCCCCGTCCCCCGCTGGGGCCCCCCACCTGAGATGCCCCAAGAGCGACCCACAGCCATGGCCGGCTGCCACCCCACTGCCCCTCCCCACCAGGCCCCAGTGTGGCCGAGCCCCTCCACAGTCCCCCCCGACTGTCCTCCTCGCCCCAAGCCAGGCTGCAGCCGCCCCACCCCACAGACCCCTCCCCTCCCTATAGCCCCCCACAGCCATGCTGTGTCCCCCTGGGGGCGGCCATGGTGCTGCCCCTCCCAACCCAACCCAACCCAACAGCCACAGCCATGCCATTGACCCAAGTCCCCGATCCAAGTCCCCTATAGCTCTCCCTCCCCCACATCCCTCCCAGACCCAGTCCCCATCCCGACAACCCAATCACCCCCTGTCCACAACCCCCCTCTCCTCCTCCCACAGCACCAATCCATCCCCTACCCTCCCACAGCTTCCACCACACAGACCCCTCCACCTCCCAGCTGGGCCCCCTCCCCACCCCCTGCTGCCCCACCCACCCCATCAGACACCCCCCCCCCCCGCTGGTGCACCAGGGTTTCCCCAAGACCCACGAACAGCTGTGAATGGTGTGGGGGAGAAGGTGTTGGTATTCGGTTGTGTATTGGGATTATGTGTACGTGTCGAGGCCTGTGGGGGCTTTGTGCTGGGGGAGAAGCTGAGCCCTGATTGTTTAGCCTAACTAAAAGAAGGTTGAGGGGAGATAGGATTGCTCTCTATAAATATATCGGAGGGATAAATACCGGAAAGGGAGAAGAATTAAAATTTAAGCTCAGTACCAATGTGGACACAAGAACAAATGGCTATAAACTGGTCACTGGGAAGTTTAGACTTGAAATTAGATGAAGGTTTCGAACCATCAGAGGAGTGAAGTTTTGGAATAGCCTTCCAAGGGAAGCAGTGGGAGCAAAAGACCTATCTGGCTTTAAGATTAAACTCGATAAGTTTATGGAGGAGATGGGATGATGGGATAACATGATTTTGGCACTTAACTGATCTTTAAATATTCATGGTTAATAGGCCCAATGGCCTGTGATGGGATGTTAGATGGGCTGGGATCTGAGTTACTACAGAGAATTCTTTCCTGGGTATCTGGCTGGTGAATCTTGCCCAAATGCTCAGGGTTTAGCTGTCGCCATAACTGGGGTGGGGAAGGAATTTTCCTCCAGGGCAGATTGGAAGAGGCCCTGGACATTTTTCACCTTCCTCTGTAGCATGGGGCATGGGTCACTTGCTGGAGGATTCTCTGCTCCTTGAGGTCTTCAAACCCTGATTTGAGGACTTCAATGGCTCAGACATAGGTGAGAGGTTTTTTGCAGGAGTGGGTGGGTGAGATTCTGTGGCTTGCGTTGTGCAGGAGGTCAGACCAGGACTGTTCTGGTCTATTCCAGCCTGAAATCAGCTTCAGACATCAGAATCTGGCTGATGCCTCTTTACCAATGGCCCACGAGGCCGTTCCTTCCTGCTCTCAGAAAGGGTGGCAGGCAGAATATGGTCACATCCTACCACACATCAATCCATTTAATACATGATTATCCCTTCTCTTTCATTATGCAAAATGCAAACATCAAATCCTCCTCCTCTAGGTGCCCTGTAACCCCCATATTCCTCATCTTGTCTTGAATTGTGATATTACACATAAACCAGGCCATGCAAGGGATCAGGGGAAAGGTGAGGAGCTGTCAAAAGTCACTCTTCTCTCTGTCTAGATCTGTGTCTCCTCAATGCCCATGAAATGACAAGAATTGTTCGGTGTTCACTGAAACATGCTGTAAGTTGTGGGATCAGCCAAAAATGAGCTTCCCCAGAGGTACCAGCAAGGAAGGTCAGCAACCCCCGGGTGGGGTGTGAAACAGCCCATCAATAGCCATTGCCCAGCAAGGAAGCTCCCATTCAATGAATCACCTGCTAGAAAATCACAGGAACAACACGGATCCACCCAGCGGAGTTAGGTGCCGAAACTCCCCGTACGGCGCATGGGCCACACAGGGACCTTACAATACAACTCCCGAAAGCCAGCTCACAGGGCAGGGAGCCAGCCAAGCCCTTGGATGGGAGAGACTGAGGAGGGGGAGGTGTCCTAGCCCGACCCTTCTCTCACAGCACTCACCTGGGCTGTGTCCAGCTGCCTCGCGTAGCTCGGGGCGTGAGTACCAACCTCAGGGCAGAGTGTTACACACCAGGGCACACACCCCATGGGGATTGGGAGCTCGATAGTTTGCTTTCACCCACCAAGAGCCAACTCCCCAGGCACGGCAACAGCCTGAAGAGGGAGTCCCAGACACTCCCCTTGGGCCCTCTGCTCTGTCCTGCCAC